CCTCTAAGATCAATAAATGCAACCTGAGCTTAATTAAAAATGGCCAAGTCCAGCACCAAACCATGTCTCTAGGTGTCCTGTTTATTTATCTTTTAAATATCTCCAAGGACAGTCACTCAACCATTTAAGCCTGTTCCAGTGCTTGACAACCCTTTCTGTGAAAGTTTTCCCTAATATCCAACCTAAACTTCTCCTGGTGAAACTGAGGCCATTTCCTCCTGTTCTATCACTTGTTATTCGGGAGAAGAGACCAACACCTACTTGTCTACAACCTCCTTTCAGGTAGTTGTAGAGAGTGAAAAGGACCCCCTAGAACTGCCTTTTCTCCAGCCATTGGCCTTCTTAGCCACCTCAGCACATCCTGTCTCATGTTAGCTGTCAAACAGCACACCCTGGTCTTTTTCCACCTTTCCAATGACTCTACCTTCAGCCTGTGGCACTGCAGGTTATCATTGTGACCCACATGGAGTACCTGGCACTTGGCCTTGTTGAACCTCATACAGTGGATAAAGTCTGTCCAGATCCCTCTGCAGATCCTTCTACCCTACCAGCAGATCAGCACTCACCCTGCTTGGTGTCCTCTGCAAACTGACTGAAGGTGCCCTTGATCCCTTCCTCCAGATCACCAATATAAAGATGTTAAACGGTACTGGCCCAAATAGTGGGCCCTGGGGATTGCAACTTGTGACCGGCTCCCAGCTGCATGTAACTCCATTCAGCAGCACTCTCTGGGCCCAGCCACCAACCAGATTTTACCCAGTGATAAGTACAGCCATGAGCTGCCAGCTTTTCCAAGAGAATGCTGTGGGACACAGTAACAAAAGCCTTACTGAAGTCCAGGTAGATAACATGAACAGCCTTTCCCTCATCCACTAGGTCTTGCAGTAGATCAGGCTCGTCAAGAAGGATCTGCCTTTCCAAAAGCCATGCTGGCTGTACCTGGTCAGCTAGTTGTCCTGCATGTGCTACATGACGGAATTTAGGATGGTTGCTGGTCAAAGCCCCATCCAGCCTGGCCTTGGATACTTCCAAAGATGGGGCATCATTTGCCTTTCAGCTAAGCAGACACTGTAATATTTAAAGAGATTAAAAATACATTTAAAACCAAGCTTAATCATGCTGAGTAATGTGACCGTGACTATTTCTGATTCCAAGTGAATTAACCCAGCTTCAGCCTTCTTGAAGCCCATGTTTAATGAAAAAGCTGTATCAACCTAAAATAACTGTGTCTGCTTTCAAGGTAGGGCCCTAGCAGCAACTGGAACTTAAATTGCTAGAGAGGGTTCAGAAAGACTTCCTTCTAATGACATGATATTTTTCTTGCAGAGATTGAAAATCAAAGATGGTTTAAAAGAAAGTAAGGTAAAGTAGCTGAGTTTCCCAAATTCTGCAAATTATATGTCACAAAAAGATGAAAAACTGACAGTTGCAGCCAGCTGGTATCTTTTCCCTTCCTATGTTCTTAGTGGAAACTTCAGTATAGAGACATGTCTGATTACATCTCCCCATTAGTGAAGGACTTTCTGGACTTACTCTACTTCTTGGAAGACTTTCTGGTTGCACCACAATGAGTTGTTACATAGCTGTTTAAGAAGGCACTAAAGCACTTGCCTACAGTGTCATTCATAGGTCAGTGACTGCTAATAGGATACAGAGTCAGACCCTCCTCCAGGTCAACAGTACACAGCTATCCCAGGTAGGTAGTGTTTATCTGACATTAAAACTTGATTCTAGTTCTGTCAAAAATGAGATTTTTGTGTTCAATCTATTTCTTAATGGGCAGGTGTTATAAGAAAATTGGCATAAATTGGCAAAATTGTTGGAGACCTTAGCAGAAAACTGAAGGTATAAAATGATCGAGCTGTGATTGCAGAGATGATCTCTATTTTAGTGCTTTGGAGGAGTGATGTGAAGAGTTTTCAAGATCAGCAGCAGCAGCTATATAGTGGAGAAATGTCTTGAAGGTCAGCCAACTCACTACACTGAGTCAATGAACCATCCAGCCCAAAAGCTCAGCACATGCCCTCAAGAGAATGCAAGAGCAGAAGAAATACGTACAGTTACTTCTAGGGAATATTTCCTACACCTCTGGTGACTTCTGACATAGGTGCTTCCTGAGCCAGTTTGTTATATAGACTAACACATTCATTTCTGTTTATATCCTACTGTCTTTTAATCAATCCCCTGCTACTTATGTGAAAATTACAAGTAAACCACTGTTTCTTAACCTCTTTCTATGTTATTTACTTTTTCACGTACCTCAGTCATACAATTCCCTCAGCAGTTTCTTTTCCAGACCAATGAATCTTTGTTAACCTAATTGCTCAAAAACAATTCTGTTCAACATCTAAATTTCAAGATCTAAATTTTGAGTAGTGATTACCTGTTCATATTGCATTACAGTGTGGGGAAAGATAATATTGTTTTTCTTCATGTGCATTGCTATACATATATTTACTATATTTTTAGCAGTAGTTTTATCTCTCGTTCAGTATAATGACCTCCTTCAACAGCTCTTCCTCTTATTTTTTACTTGTTTCCTCCTTAGTTTCTTATTATTATCCATGTGTTTTGAAGAGGAATCTCAAATCAGTATGTTACTAGATTATAGGTTAAATAGAGCAAAATGAGCTTCTCGTCCTATGATAGTATTTTGTTTCTATGCAGTGGTCTTATGGACATACGTATACACTGTTTTGTCCTTAAGAAGATGAAGAGGGGTAATTCAGACTTTATGCTCTACCATAAACTGGTTAGCAGAATATGGCTTCATAAGAAATACATATTTGTAACTTAGACTAGTTTGACCCCTTCATATCCATTTGATGTTCTTGGCCATTAATGTTCAGATCATGCAGCACGGTTTCTGCAGATATTAGTAGTTTGGAACTGTGGGAAAAAAAAAAATTACTCCTTCTATTGTATTTTTCAAATATCACATCTTTAAAATTGTCTGGGGAAGACCCATTTGCTTTAGGAGTTTACAGCAGTTTTCACAGTTTAGCTTTTGACATGAATATTTCTATACTGCAGTTTCATAGCTGTAGGGTTAATAGATTTTTGACCAAGTGATGTTGGCCATTTTTCCCCCTTCAAGTCATTAGTCTAATGAATTGCTGTGATGTACGTTCTCTAAAATTCTAACTTCTGCTTACATTGATACTTTTTGTTTTCACTGATACCCTATTGAAGCATTTGACTGAAGTATAAGGGACTCAAATGGAAACATTAAATTGCCTGCTTGACCTACTTTTTTTTTTTTTCCTGCCAAATGCTCTTAAATTACCTAGAATCTTACAGAATGTTGTTCAATAACCTGATAAAAGAAGTACAACTAATAGTTCATAAGAAAAAGATAGATTCTTATATTTAAATTGTCTAGATGTTTTCTGCATCTTGAGAGTTTAGACGATAGGAACAATAGATTAGGTTGTTGCAGAAATTTTTATGTTCCTTTATTTTCTCATCCTTGGATTAAATTCAGTGACCATAATCAAGTATTTATATCTGACTGCAATAAGCTACCTTCTGCTTTATTCCTAGGCATTGGAATTGGTTTCCAGACAGACAGTGTTAGATTATGTTGGCATAATGTCACTCCAGGACACTTTCCAACTTCAAATTGCATGGCGTTCTGCCAATTATTTCAGTTTGTGTAGAATTCTGTAATATGTATCATATTCTTGATTGTGATACTAATAAATTTATTCTAGATTTTAAAGAAACCTTAGCCTTTTGTGTCTACTTTTATAAAACAAAATTAGTCTGTGGACTTGATTATGAAATACTCATACTGCAAAAAACACCAGGAGATCTCAGTCAAATGAAAGCTGTATGGTTGTAGGGATAGGAAGCGTTCTAAATTAAATTTTTGTCCCCAAAAAGATTGCTGTGTAAAACATTCCTTAGTGTTACCAACTCCAGCAATTTCATTATAAATTTTTCATTTACTAGGAAATGTACTTCAGCCATTAAGCCTCAGTCATCTTGTTAGACTGTGAACTCACTATTTTGATTTATTTAAAGAAGTAAATAGAAAGATCAGCTCTTGTTGACTGTAAGAAAGAGCTTTAGGGGGAAAAAAATAATCCTAAATCCTTATGACTAAAAAAAAGAAATAGACAATTCCCAGAATGCATTTTATTTGGAGTAAGTTTTATGGCTTTTGAACACCTGGGCAGAACAGAACTGAATTTGGGTCATTCTGTGGTTTCTTTGCTTTCATAAATACTACTCAGCGCTTATTTACAGCTCATATAAAAATAAGCAACTTTCAGATCTGTTCTCTGCTGCAAAGTTCTCCACACAGTTTGGGATAAAAAATTTTGTTTCAGAAACAGCACAAACACCTAACTTTGACCTAAATATGTATGTCTGTGAATCTTTCTCAGCCTCCTTTGTGCAAATTTTACTGCTATCTTTATAAGAGAGTGAAATGCTCAACTCTTGTCTTTCCAGTAGAGGCATTTGAAGGAAGACTTCAAAGATAAAATTTCAAAAGTCAACCATCTGTAGTATGATAACACAGAAATCAGAATTTTAATTCTGTTAAATGATAGCTAAAACTCACAATGCACAAATAAATTTCCTAGTGTAGTATTTAACAAGGATATTATTTATGTCCTTTTCTCTGATGATGGAAGCATGCAAAAGAGTTGTACAGAAAAAATTAATTTAAACTACAAATATGTATTATGTTGCTTTTAGAAAGAAATTATGGCATCTATGACTGAAAACTCTTTCTTTTCTAGTATCAATTATTAATATTAACAAAAATTTAAATATGTTTAATGTTAAAGTAATACTGAAATTGCATCAAGAGCAAAATATCCAGATGGTTAGCATATGAGTTTTCATTTATCTACTCCATCCTGAGTTTCTTGAATACTTTTATTGTGATGATTATTCACTTCTGAGACAGAGCCAGAGATGCATATTCATAGGTTTCTCACTATATTGTCTTATAAGCTCTCCTACTGTTTCTCATTTATTCTGCACAGGCTCCATCATCACCTTCTTCACCCATAGCTAATGAACCAAAATACGAGAAGCGCTGGCTAGACACCTTATCAGTTCCTCTGTCGATGGCTCGAATCTCGAGGTACAAAACTGGAACAGATAAATTAAGGTTTGTAATCTAAAAGGGGAGGCATTGGGTTAGTTAGCTGTACATAGTGTTTTGCTGTGGATTGTTGGCTTTATAAGAATTGAGTGGAGATACGCAATTCTTCTTATTAAAAACTATGCAGTTCATCCTCTCCTAAGATTAATGGTATGCATGGTGATTACCAGAGATAAGGTAAAGCACCTACAAATATGTTTCTATAATCTGTTGTATCTTGGGAATTCAGTTAGCATCAGCAGCTAGTACAAAGGTTAATCCTGGTGTTACGTGAATTAATTTTGAAGCTACTACATTTCCGTCTGTATCTCTAATAGGATAATTCTATATTCCCCATGTCTAATATTGTCAATTAACTCTCCTTTTTCATTAAAAATGATAACACAGTGCATAATCATCACGTCTGTGCTATCATATCATATAGATATGCTTGTGTTACTGTGACATAGAAACTCATATTGACAAGATTTTGGCAAAGTATGTGGTACAATATATTGTATTTTTGATCATAGAATTTTTTTGCATCTCAGAGACACAACTAATGGTTTATAAAGTAACTGTGCTATTTTACTGGGCTTCATGAAATATGAAAGCAAAAGTGGAGTTTAATAAAGCTTCAATATACTTGAGAAAGTTTGACACATTGCAGCATACATAAGCTTTTTCTGCAAATCATTATGTGGTACAACTGCCTCAAATCTACTAGTAGTTTTAGTTAGTCCAAGCAGTCCACAGTTCTCCATAGTTATCAGAACAGGGGTCTTTATGGGTTGCTCTATATTTACATATTAACGAGATAATTGGAATCTCTGTTGAAGAATCAATATACAGGTCACCTTCTATGAGAAGGTACCAGAAATTCATCTGAATACCTTTCTTGATATATGCTTGATTTTTCCTAAAAAGTACCTGAAAAGCATTTTTTTCCTATTAGGACAGATATGCTGCTTTAACTTACAGCAATTCATATTCTAAGGCAGTTGGCAGCTCCTCTTCCAGACTTTGTGTTAAAGCATCACAGGTGAATATTAAATGCTCCAGAAAAGTTTTAGCTTCTTCCACAGACTTTGTTTGAACGCTTAATACTCTTTTACTTAGTGTCTCATCTCTTCCTCCACCACTTTCTTCCTACTTCAGCTGACAAGTTCATGATGTCTAGCCTTGTCCAATCTATCACAGACCTCCAACCATTCAGGGCTTAGACGTTCTCTGAATTAAGTAAACAAATCTCAGGGTTCACATTTAGGCTTCAATTTATCATCAGTGTTCTAGAATCTCAAGGATAAACAGAAGAGGACAGAACATTTAAACCTCTGACTTCAGTTATCACCCTAATAATTTAAAGCACTTTCCCTCCTGTGCCGTGCAGTTTACACATTAGATGAAGAAATCCCAAGGGATTCCAATTCCCAAAAGAGTTCCATGTTCATTTTGAGAATTCTTTGAAGTAAAACGCCTTCAGATATTGTACTGTCTCGCTGAGATGGAGCTTATCTTCTTTATAGTGGTCAATATAGTGCTGTGTTTTGGTTTGTGACTAAAGCAATATTAATAGCACACCAGTATTTTGGTTGTTGCCAGTGCTTGCACACCATCAAGGCTTTCCTTTTTTCTTGTTCTGCTCCTACACAGTAAATAGACCCAGGGTAGGCAAGAAGTTGGGAGGAGGTGCAAGCAAGATCAGTGACCCATACTGACCAAAGGGATATTCCATGCTGTGTAACATTTTTGCTCAGTAATAAAAACTGAGCAGAGAGGGCTTGGGGAGAGAGAGCCATTTCTCAGAGACTGGCAGGACATCGTTCTGCTTGTGAGAGATAGTGAGCCGTTGCCTTTGCATCACTTGTTTTGTTGTAATTTAGTTGGGGTGTTGCCTAGCAAGGCAGACACCCTGGTTCAAGAGCAACACGGTGGCCATGCTCAGGCCACTCGGTTCAAACCCACACACAGGCATCAATGTGATGGATGGCAGAAATGGCGTTTATTGCTGTAGAATTTGACACTTTATAACCTAGGTTCACACTGTTACTCCCATCTGCTTTCATCACATCTAGGTGCTATGGGCTAATTACAGGGGTCATTACCATACACTGTAGAGGAGGGGGGTGACTATCTTTCCGTTACATCCCGATATCTTCCGACCGCCGGGCCCTAGCTTCTACAATGGGGTTTTTCCCTCTTCCGTTTGCTTATTAAACTACCTTTATTTGTGTCCATGAGGTTTTCTGTTCTTCATATTCTCTCTGCTATGCCTCTGGAGAGGGCTGGGGGACTGAATGGCAGTTAGGATGCTTGGCTGCTGGCACAAGATCAACCCATCATAGATATATTTTTCTTGTAAGATTTGAGGAACTTGGTGCTTTCAGTTTTAGTCTTGAAGAGACATTCTCTTGTGATGTATCTCACATCCATATAGATTTAGTTTATATTCCACTCCTTAATTACTAGTGAGTTTTTATTATTGTTGTATACACTCTGATGGAAGATGAAATAATTCCATAAAGCCTATCACCATCCCATGATACTTTTCTTCTAAAGTGCTCCTTGCTTGTTTTGGTGAAACAACAAAAACAGCTATATGAGCATTAAAGGGATACTGCCTTGAAGTTAATTGTGGATGAGGCATTTCCCATTTTCTTACTAAAAGTGTTTGTTATTTGATTGAGGGACACCAGTCCGCTCTTACTGTGAAATGCATGTATGTATTTTCACTATTATCCAGCTTGTATCCTTTTTTTGCATTTCCCCATGTTCATATATTCAGTGTCCAACATTTTTCTTCTGTAATTTCTCTCCAAAATCAAATATCTGCTTTGCATGAAATAAAACCTCTGATCAGTCTAGATAAAAATCCCACTTTCAACCATATCCACACAACTCTGTTCCCTTTTACGTTGCAGCCATCAGTATAAAGCCCTTGGCATGAGTCCGAATTCATTCCCCTGAATGGATCACAGACCCTTCAGACCAATTTCCTAATTTTGCCATACCCTGAATATTTACTTGGAGCCTACTTGCATACATGGGTTGACAGCATGCCTGTATTTTCTGTACTGTATGAGTCCATGAGTCTGCCTTACTTGTAAGGTTTTGTCTCCTGCGTGTTCTTTTTCATAACTGTTTTGTTGCAATGCTCCATTATGTTTTCTCCACTAAGTTACTTCAGTTGGTCTTGCAAAGGTGCTCTGGTATCAGAACAGCCAGATTATTTTTTAAGTCAGTTGTTGAAGTATTGTAACTGTCATCTATAGTGTCACATACACAGCTGTTTGCCTTCTCTTCAGCTAGATGAACTGTATGAAAAGTCTTTTTCCCTACTTCTTACCTGAATTAAATTCAGAGAGGTCAATACAATTCTTTCTATCAAAGATTACCTATAGTCCATTGGCTTTTGACATAACTTTTTAACTATGCAACACATTATGGCTTTTGAAAGGTTATTAAAGGTTGTCTATCCACTCACAGGAAATGCAGACTCTGCTTTCTTCAATCCTTTGTTTTCCTGATGTAAAAAACATCTTTTTACCTGTGGAATTCTTGCAGTTGTCTATGGCAGAACTTACCGTACTCTTGTTAGTGTACTCTGATTTTTAAAAATACATAGTATTTTTTAGCCTGTGTATAGTGCCTGTAAATTCAACTACTTTTGCTGTTCTGATGTGCTAAACTACCATCTACCAGCATGGATATTTCCTCTGATCTCATTTACAGTACTTCCTGATGTTCAGTATTGTTTCATATTTTCAGCATTCTTTTCCTGGTAGTATAAGTACCATACTTACAGTACTTAGAAGAAAAAACCTGTCTCTCATAAGGTTGGGCAGAGTCAGATATTTTACTAAAGGCCTTCTTTCTGTTTCCTTTATTTTGAAAAGATACAAAATATTACAAAGTATGGCATGTCAGCATTTTGTTCAAAATTAATATTTTAATTAGAAATGCCTTACAAAGATAGAGTTGTCTGTTAGACTGTAGTACACTTTTAGTGTGCCTTAGATCCAATCTGGGCTAATCTAATCACATTAGGCTATTATTTCTTTTGCTGTTAGACTGAGAAGTTTAAATTTTTCTGTACTATGGTTGAGTTTTCCAGTAGCTTTTCCAAAAAACAAAGGCATACTTTCAGCATACTTCTGTGTCATGAGATGGCCAAGATCACATATATCTGTTTAATTCATATTCATTGTTCATGTGAAGAGAAAGTAGTTGTCTTTGGCTCTTCATTTCACTTGACTTTTTATTGTATTTTTCACAGGAAGTCTTTAGACTGTAACATAATGACTCAAGAATATTTTTTTCATATATTTCAAATTCTGTTAACACCATATGTATTAACAGAAACAGTAGAGAATGGGATAGATATTTTCCTTCCATATAAAGGAATGGCTGAAAATACTGCACACTGGGCATGTTTATCAGTACTACAAAACAAAAGCAAAACAAAAATTCCTCAGAATATTTTAAAGGAAAGATAAGAAACATAGTAGATGTCATTCATGTTCTCAGTGGAAAATTAAACATTGTATTTACAGAAATCATCTTGAATTAGTGTATTTCACATTGTTGATATGATTGGAGTCTATTTATATATGCAGCATGCTAATTAATTTTTTTGATTCCTTAGAAATTCAGTAAATTTTTTATTTGGTTGTCTTTATTATATAGCACTACGGTTTCTATTATTCTAGACTTCTCACCAGTCCATCAATGTAATTTTTCTCTGTAAGAAGTCAGGTAATATAAATGTAGTGATAATCCTATTCCTTTGAATATTCTTATTTGGTAGTTGGCAACAGAAACATTTTTTTCTTGCTGAGAATTAAATTGGTCAATAAACGTGATATAAGTTTAATAGAAAAATAATATAAACAAGTTTTTCTTACCCAAAGGAGTTTGTGGTTCATATTATAGTTTGGGGTGGGGTTTTTTTTGTTTGTTGTTTTTTGGTTTTTTAAGAGAGAAAAGTAAAGACAAGTAGTCTTTCAGAAGGTGGAGAACACAGCTGA